GGTCTGGGATCATTCTGGGGATCGAGGGGATGAGGCTGTTCTGGGAAGCCCCCAGTGAAATGCTCCTGCTCCTCCCTCTAGGTACGTGAAGACCTATCTCTTGCCTGACAAATCGCGACAAGGGAARCGCAAGACAACCATCAAACGCAACACCATAAACCCCCTGTACAACGAGCTGCTGAAGGTAAGTGGAGATGGGCTGGAGGAGGGATGTGACTGTATCCAGGCCCCTTCTTCCACTGTGTTGAAGTGGAAGACTGGACAGTCACCTGGCCCCTGGGGACACAGAGTGRGCTGCTGTGCAATAAACTGCCCTCTGCATCTGACCTTGGTTCCACCTTTGTTCCCCTGGCAAAGAGGGAACAGCCTCCTGCTCCAAGGCTGTGGCCACCAGCAAGGAATGAGCTCCAAACCCAGAGCAGGCTCTGTGCCCAGGCACTGGGCCCCAAAACCTGGAAAACTCCATTCTGGGCTGGATCACCGCTTCCCTGCCACTGTGCTGTCCAGGCCGGGCCTCCGTGGTGGTGTGGAGGCACAGCTGAAGCTGTTAACTTGTCTCTCTCCCAGCCTGTGTTCCTGGCTCTGCTGCCATTCCCCAGAGCTGCTGACCTTGCTGTTCAGCCCRCCAAGCTGCTCTTGCTTTTCCTTGGGAAAGGCTCCTTGCTGCAAGGCTCTTGCAGTCTTACAAGTCTTGCAGAAGCAGAAGGAAGCAGCAGAAACATCTGGCATTTTGCATTCCCTTTGCATTCCTGGTCCCTGCCGCGGCTGGCACGGGCCGTGTGGGAAAGGCTCCTTCCCCGTGCCCAGCCACGCAGAGGCAGCACATCGCTGAGGTCAAGCGCTCTCTGCAAGGAAGGAAGTGGGCACAAGAAGGCACAGTTTGGTTTCCAGTCTCTTGTGGCTCAAGGTCCACAGCCCCTGAGCTTGCTGAGAGCTCTGCCTGACCGCCTGGGGCTTAGTGGGCTCACAGGGTTTGCTTGTGGTAGGAAGGAGGTGGTGGATGAGTGCTGCAAATCCTACCCCGGCTCTGCATGGGCGTTGAGGATGGCTTGTCTGGAGGACATGTACTGTCCCAGTGAGGGCTGCTGACCTCYTCAGCAAGCTTGAAAAAGATCTTCTGTGCACCTCAGGTGCCCCTCAAGGCTTCCTCCCTCTGTTTGGGCACCGTGAGCTCTCTGCAGTGCCYGCTGTGCACTGACACGCAGGCACGCCAAGTCTGGGCCTCCTGGCATTGCCTSCTGCGAGGAAGGTGCCAGGAGGCAGCAGTCCAGGTGCTGTGTACGAGCCCAGGAAAGGTGGARCAGCAAAGCCTGAGGGCACCATCCCCCTTGGGTCTTGGGGAAAGTCTGAGCACAGACCTRGAAGCTCTCACTGAATTACCTTTGTATTAATAATAAATAATTTTTAAATGTTTTTATTTTCTCTCCTGTCTCTTTTCCCAGTATGAGATTAATAAGTCCCTCCTGCTCGCAAGGACACTGCAGTTCTCAGTCTGGCACCACGATCGCTTTGGCCGAAACACCTTCCTGGGGGAGGTGGAGATCCCAATGGACTCCTGGAACTTCGACAGCCAACTGGAGGAGTTTCTCCCCCTGCATGGCAAGGTACTGCCCTGGTAGACATAGCATCTACTTGCCTGCACCAGCCTCCCTTGTGGGACTCCAGCAGGGAGGAGAGAAGCTCCCAAGACTTTGCTGCCTGCAGCTGCTGTAATAGGGGTTTCTCACAAGCCTCTGTCCTTTGCAGTGCCCTTACTGTGTCCTGCTGCGTGCCCTGAGTGGGCAGAGCCTGAGTGTTGCTGCAAGGCGTGAGCCAAACAAAGCTGTGGAGAGGTGAAGGCCCTGGCCCCCATAGCAGCACTGTTGGAGTAAAGGAAGCAGAGCTTGTCCGAGTCTGGCTTCCCTTCTCCATGCATCCCAGTGGGGTGTCAGATATTGTTATGCTGCGTCCTTGGCTTCTCCCCAGCTGCAGCTCTTTCCCTCTCCCTCAGTATGGAAGAATCTAAGCCAGTTTTGGGGAAGCAAATGGGGGATTTGTTGGATTCAGCGTCCTGTTGGGGGCTGTGGAACAGGGTAGCAAGAGGCTGTGCTGTGTATTGTGTATGTGGTATAGCTGGTTTGCAACAGCAGATGCTTCTGCTGCTGGARTTATTTAGCAGACTGGTTTTCTTGAGTAGCTTGGGTGTTCTAACCTCAGCCTTTGCTCTGCCAAGACTCGAGCAATTTGCGGTGGCTGAGCTAAATGGGGTTTCCCAAGGGATGTAGTCAAAACAGCATCCCAGAGGAGCTGGTTTCTCAGTCTGATCTGGTATTACTAGAGCAGCTCTGCAGACATTTGTGCTGGCTGAGCTGTCTCTGGAAGAATCCAAACCTTTTGGCCAGGCATGGGGAGCTTTCTCCATTCACTTGGCTTCTCTGATAGTGGTGTAATGATCCACCATTTGCGTCTTTGCAGATTGGCACCGATGCTGCTGGCCTCCACCAGTACAAAGGGGAGCTGGTTGTCTCCATGAAGTACATCCCATCTCCCAAGCATCCTGGGGCTGGGAATGGCAGGAAGGGTGAGTGGTGGAGCGCTAAGATCTCTGCATGTCCTGGGGTTGTTTGTTGCTCTCCACTACCCCCCTCAGAAAATTCACGTCTCCAAACACCAAGCAGCCTTATAGGAACTGCTCATGGCCACGCAGGATGCTGGTTCCRGGTGGACTTCTTGGGTTCTAGCACTTCAGTTTTCTTTTATGAAACATGTGCAAGATGCTGGCTGCTCTGGGTCACCACAGGCTTCAGTGTGGGTCCAGAGTTTTCCTGCATCTGCACTGGGTTTGCAAGCACTGTTCCCTGTACTGAGGTGAAGTGTCAGGCCCTGTCTYGAGTGACTCTCTGCCTTAATAGCCAGGGCCAGCTTGGGAGGAAGCAGGGGGAGTTTTCCTGTGGTCTGTAGCTGCCTTGGAGGTGAAGGCCATTCTGCAGGACCCTTCAGGAAGGAAGCTGTGGTCAAACTTGGGGTTAATCCAATCTTGCTGTGCTGGGACTCTTGCAGGTAAAACCGGGGAAGGTGGTGAGCTCCAGGTCTGGATCAAAGAAGCCAAGAACCTCACAGCGGTCAAATCCGGGGGGACCTCAGACAGCTTTGTGAAGGGGTGAGTGTGGGTAACATGCTGGAAAGTAGAGAAGTAAGTAAAAGCATTGTAGTCCTTGACTGCGTCCCAAGGCTCTTTCTAGATCTTTTATGGAGATTTATGGGAAACAGATGATTTCTCCATTGGCTCCCCTCTGTGTCTGTGCTTTCAGTTTGAAAGTCACTGTCTGCAGGTCTCTTCCTGGAGCCAAGGAGCTCTTAGTAGTAYGTTCTTGGGTGTTAGCCACAGGAGAGCTGCTCTTTGGGCTTTGTAAGCTCTGTGGCTTGTTTGCTATGGCRAATATGAGGGTCCCCTTGCAGCAGACATGAGATGGATGTGCCCTTCCCATGGCCTTGGCTTTCTACCTAGGCTARCAGGTCCATGAGCCAGAAGTGGGTCCTCAAGGAGGACCATCCAGTTGTCTTAGCTGAGGTCACTCTTACAACCAGACAGCTGTAACTTGGGTTGTGCCGAGGCAAGAGGGATCTCCTGTGGGGCTCCAGTGTTCAGGCTGCTTTGTTGGTCCTGCCTRTAGATAAATGCAGGGGCAGGTAGAACAACCTGTCCTCCCGAACACTTAGTTTGATGAGCTGCCTAAGAGGTTGGGGCAGAGACAAAGGGCCTTCCAGGCCATGATGCACCATCTTCTTGGGCCACCCTGGGGGCAGTGGGACCCAGGCCTGGTCCTTGTGGGGCTGAGCATAGTTGCCGTGGCTCCTGAGGGAGAAGGCTGTTGTAGGGGATGCCAACTCTGAAGGGATTGTTTCCTCAGCTACCTCCTGCCACATAAAAACAAGGCCTTCAAGAGGAAGACTCCTGTGGTGAAGAAGAGCCTGAACCCTCATTACAACCACACCTTTGTCTACAATGGCATCAACCCCGAGGACCTGCAGCACATCTGCCTGGAGCTGACAGTCTGGGACCGGGAGCCGCTATCCAGCAATGACTTCCTGGGAGGCGTTCGCTTGGGTGTGGGGAATGGTGAGGACCCCTGGGGATGCTGCTCTGGAGAAAGATGTGGGATCTGTAGTGGGTTATAAGGGCATGAGTGAGGCTAAAGCCTGCAGTCTTGATGGCAGACGGAGATGTCCCAAGTAGTGGGTGGTCTCTCAACCCTTTAGGATGAACATCCTTGCCTGGGCCTGCATTTCTGCCGTAGGGAAGCTGTTCCTATGCAGAGATTTAGGGTAACCCCTCTGTCACCTTTCTCCAAGGCATGAGCAACGGGCAAGCTGTGGACTGGATGGACTCCACAGGCGAGGAGCTGAACCTGTGGCAGAAGATGCGCCAGTACCCAGGCTCGTGGGCAGAAGGGACGCTCCAGCTCCGTTCCACCATGGCGAAGATGAGGCCCTAGACATGGGCACGGGCACCAGGACTGACCCTACAGCTCCAGGCGCTCCAGGGCTGTGGGCACAGCATGGCCAAGGGCCAAGGCCAGAGCCAGACAGAGGGGCCAGGCTTATTTTATTTTTTTTTTCCATATTTTAATAAACATGACTTTCTCTCTAAACAGGCTTGGACAGAAAGGCCTCTTGCGGTCAGTGTGTTAAGTTAAAGGGAGTGAATTAAAGACAGAATTTGAGTCCTTGTGGACTTTTTTTTTCTTTCTCCTTTTTTCCTTCTCCTGGCAAAGTGCTCTGAACTGTGTGTTTCTGTTTTGTTTTGTTTCCTCCTCCACCTCCTCCACTCGCTTTTGTTTCACAATCTGCTCCCTCAGGGTCTTCTCCACCCCCCTGCTGTGGGATGCCACAGCCCCAAGGTCACTGAGCCAGAGGCCCCAGTGCCTGGCCCTGGCTCTGGGGCCTGGAGGGCAGCGGTGCTGGTGTCCTGCTGGATAGGACAGGCAGGATCCAGTGCTGGGTGCGGGGCTGAGCTCTGGGCTCTACCTGAGGCAACGCAGGGGTGAGGAAGGGTGACGCTCTACAGGTTCCYAAGCCCCTTGGCCCTGTTTTTGCGCACAGACTTAAATTTCTGGAGTGCTCCTAGCCCTGAGTTTTTATACAAATTTATTCACATGATGTTAACGTGCTACTGCCAGAACAGTTCCCAGGAAGAGCTGGGTGGGAGGCGAGGCGCAGTGGCGGGCGCAGGCCCTGCTCTGCACGAGGGGGTTTGCRCACTGGAGGTCTGGCTCTGCCCTCTGAGCGTGGGGACATCTGCTTTTAATAAAGGCTTCCCGCTGGGGCTGTCTCCATCAGGACTGTGGCGGCACTGGGACTGACCCCTGGGTGCTGAGGGAGCCGGTTGGAGCCGTGTATGGGGTGAAGCTGCTGCTGAGGTGCCTGTGCCATCACCTTGCCCCAGGGCAGCTCTAGCTGGGCTGGAAATGCATGGGCTGTGGTTGCTCCTCACACGTGACACCCACAGAGCTGCCCCAGCCTCTCCTGGTGCTCCTGGCCACGTGTGGTGGGGACGGAGACAGTGCATGGTCCTGCCCTGCCCGGGCCTGGCTCCCCTGCCCCCGGCGTCCTTGCACCCTGCTCCTCCTCTACAGCGGGCGACTACAGAAGCAGAAAGTAGTCCGTTCCGCGGGGCTGGGCGGGCGGGAGGCTCCCCGCGCCGGCGCCTCACTCGCAGGCGTCCCCGCTCTGCGCCCGCTGGGCCGTCTCCTGCTGGCTCAGCAGGTAGGTGTCGATGAAGTCGAAGAGCTCGTCAGGGCTCACGGGCAAGATGTAGCGCTCGCGGTCGGTGCCCGATTTGTCCAGCAGCACCACGTTGAAGTGGGAGCGCGTGAGGTGCAGGAATTGCCTGTGGGGGGAGGAAAGGGGGTCAGTGAGGAGCAGGGGGGTGTGGGTCACCCCCAGTTCAGGTGCAGTGCATCAAGGGTGTCCTAATGAGGGATGGGACCCCCCAGCACCACAGGGACAGGGCATCCTGAGACCTGGGCTGCCATGAAGCTAGACGTGAGCCCTGCATCTTGCTACCCGCCGAGACTACACTACAGGAGTCACCCCAAAAGACCACCGTGGTCCCCCCGCCCAAGATCCCCGTCAAGCACCCTCTGGGTTCTCCATACCTGGCTGGACCACCCTCCATACCTGAGCTCCTCGATGATGCCCGCGGAGAGCTGGTGCTCGCGGATGCGGCCCACCTCGTGTGGGGGCTGCCCCACCAGCTCCACGATGGTGACGTGCCGCAGGTCCAGCCCGCACGTGGCTTGCTGTGGTGGCGGACACGGGGACAGTGGGGTGAGCGGGCGCTGGTGGCCACATGGGGTGGCCACATGGGGTGGCCATGGAGCCTCACCTGCAGCATGGCGATCTGCATCTTGTAGTAGCGGTTGGCGGGGTCGGGGGCCGAGACGACGAGGAGGCGGCGCTTCTCGTAGAACTGATCCAGCAGGCTGGCGGCCGAGTTCACCTCCGTGTTGATCTGCATGGCTGCGGCGAGGGGCGGGTGCAAGGAGAGATCCCCCCTCCCTCCCGGACCCATCTCCGTGGGGTACTACCCACCCCCGGGCACGTGCGCCCCCGTGCCCCGTCACTCACGCGCGCAAAGGGGCTGCGAGCCCGTCCACTGCTGGCTGGACTGGCAGACGCGCAGCGGGGTGCCCTGGCGCTCGTAGCCGCCGTCGCACAGGTACTCGCACGTGGCCCCGTAGTTGTTGCCGGCCGACGTGCAGGAGAGGTAGCCGTGCTGCGGCGGCTTCAGCACGGGGCAGCGGCGCACTGCGGGGCGGCACACGGTGTGAGGGGCTGGCGCCGTGGCGTGGGGCACGCGGGGCCCCGGGGTGCCCCCTTCACCTTGCACGCGGATCCTAAACTTGCAGCTCGCTCGGTTGTACGCCTGGTCGTGGGCCGTGTAGCGGACCACGTGCTCCCCTTCGGGCAGCTCCGAGCCCGGCTCGGGGCCCCGCAGCGTCACCCTGCGCCCACAGACACGGGTTCCTCGGTCAGGGCCCTGCCAGGGCTGCTGAGGCCGGGGCGCTGGTGGTGCCGCCGCGGCGCTCACCGCTTGATGATGCCGTCAGCAGAGTCCTTCACGCGGGGAGGGTCCCAGTACACCGTGGCTGTCAGCTTGCCCGGCTCCGCGATCCGCTCGCGCGAGTCAGGGCAGCGGATCCTGGGCGGCTCAACATCTGCCCACGGAAGGAGGGGAAGATGCTCAGAGGAAAGAGAGGCAGGGAAAGCAGAGTGCCATCCCAGTGCGATCCTGGTGCTGGGCCACCAGGCTCCATTCCAGAGCTGGGCACCTATCCGAGCTCCGGGGGCAGCAGCCCCTCATGAGGGAGCAGGGAGGAGGCYGGCAGGCTGGGATTTACCTACACAGACCGGCTCGCTGCCGCTCCAGCGCCCGTCCTCCATGCACGTGCGGCTCCGGTCGCCCTCCAGCTGGTAGCCGGGCAGGCAGGTGTAGTCGCAGCGCGAGTCCATCTGCACGCCGGCCGAGCACGCGTAGGAGCCCCGCAGCAGCCCCGGCAGCACCGGGCACCGGATTTCTGCAGCGGAGGGAGCAGCGAGGGCAGCAGGGGAGCCGCGAGGGCGGCGCGGGGGGCCGGGGAGGGCCGCGCAGACACTCACGTCGGCAGTAGGCCATGCCGGACCAGTGGCGGCTGGGCAGGCACTGCACGGCGCTGCGCCCCACGAGGCGGTAGCCGCGGGCGCAGCTGAGCTCGCAGCGYGTGCCCAGGCTGCTGCGGTAGGCGCTGCCGCGGGGCGAGTAGCACGTGGCCTCGCCGCGGTACACGCTGAGCGTGGCGCACCACTGGGGCACTGCGGGGGACGGGGGCTGAGCGGGGCCCCGCGCCGCCGCCGCCGCCGCCGCRTCCCCCCGCCGCGCCGCTACCTCGGCGGTAGTCCAGGGCGGGCTCGCCCGCCGGCTCCTCCACCGCGAGCACCTCGTTGGCCTGGCTCTCCGCGTAGTAGCCCGAGCCTGCGTGGGGGGAGAGCAGAGCGGGGGGCTGTGCCCGGTTTGGCAGCGCTGGTGCTGTCTCCCCTGACACGGCGGCCGCCGCTACATTCCCCAGCACTGAGCTCACATTTCCGCCGGGTTTCCGCCGCAGCAGCCCCCCTCCCGGCTCCCCTGCGACTGGGGAGCGCTCCCCACTCCGGCCCCGGGCAACAGTTTTCCTTTCGCCAGGGAAAGGGGGGCCGGGCGCAGCGGGAGCCCCACGGCAGCCTGCCCTGGCAGGACGCACCTCCTTTTCCCCTACAACTGTCTTAGAAAAGAGGAATATACACATACATATGCATATGCATATACATATACATATATATATATAAATGCATAAGCTGAGACCAGTCCAACCAGCAGCCCCTCCGTCACGTGGAGGAAACTTTGCTGCAAATCTTTCCTACATGAGCTCTATGCCGAGCGAATCCCCGCCGCTTCCCACAACCCGCATTGTGTCGCCCACTCATTTCCACAAAGCCTTTCATGCCGCTGTCCTTCCCACGCCGTCCGGCGCCAGGACAGCGGAGCAGCCGCGGGCAGCGGGCCGCACGGCGCCGCCGGGGGGAACCGAACACCCTGCAGCTCGAGGCTGGCTGCTTCCCCGGGGGCGCGGACGTGCCCCTCGCTGCAGAGCTGCTGCTGCATCGCACATATTCCCTCTGCAGGGAGACGGCGACTTTCCACTGCCAGCCTCGGCTGAGCCGGGAGGGCAGCAGCAAGGCCTGGCAGCAGAGCAGGGAGAGGAGGAACGAGCAGGGAGAGGAGGAACGAGCAGGGAAGGGAGAAGCACCCTGCAGAGAGCAGGGAGATGTTTCCATCCCGGCTGAGCCGGGGCCTCCCCAGCCTCAGGACCGGCTGGCAGAGCCAGAGCGCGCTGCCCTGGGGAAGGGACCCCCCGGCTGTGCCTGGGTTTGGGTCTGGGCGCTCCATGCAGCTGTCCCGGCAAACATCTGCCGGCCGATGGCTCCAGCGGGAGTGGGGAGGCAATGGAAAAGTTTAGCCTCCGCGAGCAGTGCCGTGCTGCAGAGGATCCRTATTTGCTCATCCCTGGATGCTTCCCAGGCTCCTCTCCCCCCTGTGCAGGCACTGATGCTCTCCCCTTGCTCCCTGGGGCAAGCCCCGCAGTGGGACGGTCGCGGGCAGCCCCCCCGGGGCAGTGGGCGCCCCWGGATCCTCACGGTGCCCATGCCCCCGCGTGCCGCAGCGCCCACCTTCGTGCCACGTGCAGGACACCAGCGGCGTGAGGAAGACGAGCAGGACGGGGGCGGCCTCCTGCGCCATGCCGGGTCCCCACGCAGGACCCTCGCGCCGCTCGGACGTGCACCTCTCCCGCCTGGCTGCGCTGCCCGCGCTGAGCAAACCTCCTGTCCCGCTCTGCCGCCTATCCCAAACATTCAGCAGGCATGAGTCAGGCCCTTCGAAACGATGACATTGTCAAAATAAGAAATTGCAGGGTTGCCTCATTTTCAATATACCTTCTGCTTTTCTTTCTGAGGCTCTGAAAGTTGTCAGATTTTTCTTTGCRAGCCGGACAGCCAGATGCCTCTTTTCAGGCAAGAAACAGTAGAAGAGCCTCTGCCAGACTCTTGGAACGGGAGCTCCGGAGACAGGAGCCGGAGGACAAAACCGCAGGAATGAGCACCCCTTTTTTTTTCCACCAGTCGAGGGCTGACGAGCGCAGCACTAGCCCAGGCTGAAATGCAACAGCAGAAACCTTGCCACAGACTCGGCAGCTGGAAACGAGCCCCAAGGCAAACTATTCCAGCCGGGGCCCCTTTTCCAGCTGAAATCCAGCTGCTGTCMGGCAGAGCTAATAAAGCGCATTTATTAGCTTTCCCGAGCCCAGCTCTGTGCTGCGGCCCACGGAGCGCAGCAGGAGCGGGAAGAGGAGCAGGATCCGAATAACCGGGCCATGCAGGGGCATGCACGGGACGGGGAGSGGGGCTGAGCGCGGGCAGGTACCGAGGGGCAGCGCGGCTCAGCGCGCTGGCCGTGGGGCCGGGCGCTGCGCAGGGGGCCGATGCGGAGCGCGCTGCGGAAGGGCCCCCAGCGCCGCCCGCTCCGCTCGCCGAGGGGCTCGCGGCGGCCCCGGGCCCGTCGGGGCGGCAGCTCCTACCTGCGGCTCCCCCTCCAGCCGCTGCTCCCGCCGCCGCTGCCCAGATGTGCGCGGAGCCGCCTCAAGGCTGCGCGGCGGCCGCCAGGGGGCAGCGCGGCCGCCCAAGACCCCCCCGCCCCGGCCGCAGCCCCCCCCGTCGGGGAAGGGGGGACCGAGCGGGGACACGGGGCAGGGGACGGGGCTGGGGCACGGGCAGGATGGGGGGGACACGGGGCAGGACAAGAGACGGGACACGGGGGAAACGTAGCAGCGCTGAGGCGCGGGGCAGGACRGAGGGGACACGGGGCAGGACGGGAGGGACATGGGATAGGACTGGGCCACGGGGGGGTTCACGGGACAGGACGGAGGGGACACGGGGCAGCACTGGGCGGACACGGGGCAGCACGGGAGGGACGTGGAGTAGGATGGGGAGACACGATGTACGACGGGGGAACATGGGGTAGGGTGGGAAGGACATGGGGAAACCCGGGGGGTTCCTGGGCAGGACGGATGAACACGGGGCCCGACGAGGGGCACACGCRCCGCCCCAGGGCGGAGCCGCGCGCGCCTTCGGGGCCGCTCGGCCGTTTCCGTGAGTTCTCGGCAACCTTCGGCACCG